CCCCCCCCCACCCCATTAAGGGGACGCCACAATTAAGTGGACGGGGACACTTTCTGAGTGTTCCAAATGGTCCAATAAATACATTTGAACCATTTAAAATATAAATAAAAATACTGTCTTTTCCTTTCGCAATATTGTTAATTGTTTGGTTTAGAGCTACCTAATTAGCATATACATACTCCATTTTTATTGCTAGAAACGTCAGTGAAATTGATTTATATTTCGTGCAGTTGTGGCACCAGCTGGGAGGGGGAGGGTAATTTTCCACACCGTCGGAGAGGCCTGGAACCTCTCCCCGTCGTTCGACGCCACGACTAGGTCGTCAGATCAAAAATAAATATATTAGTAATTCGCCTATTCAAATAACTTTAAAACAAATTTATTGACAAAAAAGAAGATCGACGTTTTGAGTCCATCATAGACAAACCAATGCAGGCAAAAACCGAAAAGTCCACTGATTAATCTCAGATAAGGTAGTATATACATACTCCAAGTATCGAAATACACGCTATCGTGTCGGAATTCAATATTTCGACATTAATTGTCATCATCAGGAATGTGAAATAAAATATAGTCATTGCTTTATACAAGTATCACAAAAGCTGATAAAATAACTATTAATATAATATTTATCTATAGTAATGAAAATACAGTACAGTATGTTAAAAACAAAAAAAATCTCAATTACATAATTAAGAGAAGCTCTGATGTTTTGCATTTGGAGTACGGTACTAAATGTTTATGCCTAGCTAGGCTACACCAAGTTTCTAATTTATAATACACAAAAGAATAAAAATAGAACTGTGATACAAAAACTCTTGACATCCTAAACCTATTGTGCACCCCACCTTACAATGGTATAGTCCATTGTTGGGTGGCTTTTGACAGGGGTGGCTTTTAACAAGGGTGGCTTTCTTCCTATTTCCTTAAAACCATATCTTAACAAATACAAACAGATTCTATTTATGCAAAATTGTTTATCTAGCAGATTAATTTGCATGGAGCTTATCAGTATCTAGCTCCAACTACTGTAGCTAGGAATCTTGTGACTACTTTTAATCCATGATGCCTTCTTAGGTTTGTCTACTTTTGTATATTATTGTTGTTCACTTGGTCTTGAGAACGTGTCCATGATGGACTCGAAACGTCGATCTTCTTTTTTGTCAATAAATTTTGTTTTAAAATCATATAGTAAACGTCTGTTGATTCGTATCCAAAGAACGTTATTTTAATTGCTAATCCCTAATATTGTGGTCTAAAAGCAGAATTTGGACCACACTAAGCCTTAACAACTATCTCCATGAGCCCTAGCAGTGGCATACCTAGGGGTGCGGGGGGTGGGGTGCACGCCCCTCCAAAAATAACTGGCGCCCTTCCCCCACAGTCGTCCCCTACCCAAAAGCAAGTCACTTAACATCACCGTATTTTTTGCGAATTATCGCCACTCAAATGAGCTCATAGCACCCCCCCCCCACCCACACACACATACTTCACTACCTACCAGGGATTTATTTTTTTTATTCCGGGCCGTTGACCGAGGTTGTAGTCGGCCCTTGATTCGGACCCCTTCTCGGCAAATTTCTGGCGTCACCGCTGATTGTGATAAAGTTCAGGTAAATAATTTTAATAGAATTCCAGAAAATGTTGAGATTCAATAAGAATTTGTTACGATGATATTTCTAAAATTTAATACAGTATAATATTTACATATCCCAGGTTCTTTAAAACGTATATAGAATGTGTATAGAAATTACATAGGAAATATATAAGAATTTTACGAGAATTGTATAGGACTTTTCTAAAAGAAATATAAAAATTTTAAAGAAACAATATTTAAAAAAATCTACAGAGATAAACAATTAAACAATTAAGAAATTGTAAGGAATTTATACAGAAGATTCTCATTTAAATAATTTTCTATTTCTATAGAACTATCTCTATAGAGAATGGATAGGTTTTATATAGAGAAAATAAAATCTTGGGTCAATTTTCTATAGAATTCTATAACAACTGTTTACATTATATCATATACCGTACTGTATTTACAGTAACGGCGGATCAATTTCTATCGATCAGTGCGAGTATGGTTCTTCGTACGCCAGAGATTGTGGTGACGCCGAGACGATCTCCTTCTCTTCTTCTATTGGTACTGTATCCAACCCGGTTAGAAAAACGGCATCAGTATATCAGGTATGTATCTGGTATTGTTGGCTTTGGCTATTATGTGTTGTAGACTTTTCGTTCTGTTGTGTAAAGTGCATTTAGGCTCTTTGAGTGCGCTAAGAATTATTATTATTATTATTATTATTATTATTATTATTATTATTATTATTATTATTATTATTATTATTATTATTATTATTATTATCATTATCATTATCATCATCATCATCATTATTATTATTATTATTATTATTATTATTTTTATTATTATTATTATTAATATTATTATTATTATTATTATTATTATTATTGTTATTATTATTATTATTATTATTATTATTATTATTATTATTATTATTATTATTGTTGTATCCGTCCCTGTCTCTTTGTCTTGTGCTTTGTGTGTTGTATTGGTATACCAAAGAGGTTTTATACCGACACATTATTAAAATACTATTTCGCTACATGTTTATTTAATTATATTTTATTCATTTCTTATTTCTTTCTTCACGTTTAACAAGAGGCAACAATATAGCTGTGTAAAGTTCCAACAGCAAGTAACTCGGCAATTACAGAATGAAATGATTATTCTAAACTTTGACTCTGTCTTCGTATCCAGGATGAATGATTTCTATTTTCAAATCCATAAGACAACGATTGATATATCGGGCTTAGAAATTACTCATCATATGTATTAAAGAGTTACGACTAAAATTTAAAATGTATGACATTAATTACTGTTTCAGGGTGAATTCTATCTTAAAATCGATGTGTGGGACGACGATGGTAGTAGAGCCGATCTTGTTGACAAATATCGTAAAACCATTACACAAACAGCAGATGGTGTTTCGAGACGTTACTACCTTTATGGTCAAAGGACCGCAGCGCCTTACACAACGTAAGTTATTTCACACTGTCTGTTTTAGACTTGTATATAGGTCTAAGTTATTTTAGCTTCAATTTTAAACATGGTTGTTTGGTTCTTTGATATATTTTTGCGGTTTTTTTGGAGGGCTCAATGATAAGCAGTGTTTACACCAATTCACTTTATATTATTATTAACATTATAAACATTTAAGTGACAGTATTAGTTAAATACTTTCAAAATATGTTACACTTTCCGTAGCATAAAGTAAATAATAATATAGCGATAATAGTACCATTTATAACGCACGTAAATATATCCTTGTCAATTGATTGGTGGATTTCGTATCACATGACACTGCACTGCCTATTTATCCCAATTCGTCACCACTTATTAAAATTTAGTTCCACCGGGCATTTTTACTTGTTTCATAAAATCTACCCTTTTTCTAAAGGGAACAGTCCAGCGTCTTTTAGTAAAGTAAAAGGCGCTGGACTGTTTCATTTAGAAAAAGGGTAGATGTTTCATAAAATATCAAATGACAAGAATGCTCATTTAGAAAAAAAGATATATTTTTTCAAGAAAAAATAGCAAATGACAAGAATTTATATTAGTACAATATTAGATGTGTTATAAAACAAATAATGTTTTTATTTCCGTAATGGAAAGAATATTTTCATTTGTAGAAAGATTGACTATTCCATTCAACTCGGCTCCGCCACGTCGAATGGAACAGTCAATCTTTCAACTCAAGATGGGCGGATCCAGAATTTTTCAAAGGAGGGGGGTACTCCGTGTCCCCACATCTGAATCTGCACCTGTCATGAAAACCATAGAGACCAATATATACTAGGCACTTTCTCTCAAACGGTACAACATAGTCGCTGTCTCTTATACACATCTAGATGTGTATAAGAGACAGAATGTTAGATGAAACACGGTTATAAACATTTGTGGAATACAGCACAGTAAAGTATCAAAGAAGTTTATAAAAGTTGAACGTTTGAAGAAAACGTAAAACTACAATCCTAAAGCCAGCAACTGAATGCTATGACAGCTACGCCAACTCCGCTCCCTGTGAGCGCTACACAAAGCGACGCCATCTGCTGATTGCAGGTGGCATTAAACACGATCCGTCGTGTGTGTCATCTTGTTGCGTTTTACATAGAATCGCGTCGGCAGACAACTGTCAGCTGCCTGTCTCTTATACACATCTAGATGTGTATAAGAGACAGGGCTGATTGATGATTGGTAAACTCTTCAGAATTAGGCCTAGGCATATAGTTAAAAAAGAAATACAGTATTGAACCTTTGCACTAAGCCCCGCCCCTTGGATATCGTTGCTAAGGTCCCACTAAATAATAGCATAAATGTATGTATATAGGACAACATCTGCGTTTGTTGGACACACACATATTCCTGGCACTGTCCTAATTGGTTAGTTGTTAAGTTTGATTGGCACACTTCGTACTAAGGTCCATTGTCGACCAACACTAACTCTGTCTCTTATACACATCTAGATGTGTATAAGAGACAGTGTACAATGGACTACAGGTGACAGAGTTACCATAGTACAATCTATATGTTCCAATATTTTAATTGCGATAATAAAAAACACCTTTTCTCTTTACATGTGCAGGCCCGTAACTATCTTATTGTGGTTATTTGGTGTTTACTTCCATCCGCAGGACCATCGTAGACGTTGTTGTGTATTGCAATACGAATTACTACAATAGCGACTGCGCCACGTACTGTGTTCCCCAAAATTCAAATTCAAATGGTCACTACACATGTCACTCATCAACGGGGGCAAAGATATGTTACCCGGGTTATTCGGGGTCAAGCTGCACAGTTGATATCAACGAGTGCAGTAGCAATCCGTGTAGAAACGGGGGAACGTGTGCACATGGTCGCTACTTGTGTAGAAGAAATCGGTTGGTTTGTGTGTATCCTTGTACCGTGAACATTAATGAGTGCGCTAGCTATCCGTGCGCAAACGGTGGCACATGCGTAGATGGGGTGAATGGCTACCAATGTCAATGCCGAGCAGGTTTCAACGGAGGACGATGCCAGACTGAAATCGACGAGTGTCTCTCGTCACCATGCTTGAATGGCGCCATCTGCAATGATGCTGTAGCTGGATATACATGTGTATGCGCATCCGGATTTAGTGGCCAGTATTGTGAAAATGATATTGATGAATGTGGGAGCAGTCCGTGCAAGAACGAGGCCATGTGTTCTGACCAGATCGATGGGTTCAACTGTATATGCGCCGGAGGATATACGGGAACGTTATGTGAAATGGAAATCGATGAATGTGAAAGTTTTCCATGTCAGAATAATGCCACGTGTTATGATGACGTCAATGGGTTTATTTGCGATTGTGCCTATGGTTATTTTGGAGACTTTTGTGATTTTAATATCACTGATTGCATTGCATTGTGTGAGAATAACAGTACATGTGAGATAGCTAACTCTACGATGACCTGCCATTGTGCTCCTGGCTTCAATGGTGACCTATGTGACAAAGAATATGACGAATGCCAGAGTCAACCGTGCCAAAACGGGGCAACATGTCATGACGTCATCAACGGGTTTGTCTGCTCGTGTGCACCGGGATATTCTGGAACAAGCTGCCAAAAAGAAGTAAATGAATGTGATAGTAATCCTTGTGTTAACGATGCAGAATGTGTTGATCTCATTGCCGAATTTTTCTGTAACTGTACTGAGGGTTTCGAAGGGAATTTCTGCGAAATAGACATCGACGAATGCATGTTTTCAGAATGTGTTGGTAACTCAACATGTACTGATGGCATAGGTGGATACTATTGTGAATGTGAAGACGGTTATGATGGCAATTTATGCGAATATGAAATAGATGAGTGTGAAAGTTTTCCGTGTAAGAATAATGCCACATGTTATGACATCCTTAATGGTGTCATCTGTGATTGTGCATATGGTTTTTTTGGGGACTATTGTAACTTTGATATCACCGATTGTCCAAGATTTTGTAAGAATAACAGTACATGTGAAATAGCTAACTCCACGATGACATGCCTCTGTGCTCCTGGATTCTATGGTGAACTATGTGACAGAGAATATGACGAATGTCAAAGTCAACCGTGCCAAAACGGTGCAACATGCAATGACGTCGTCAATGGGTTCGCCTGCTCATGCGCGCCTGGATATTCTGGCACAAGCTGCCAAGATGAAGTGGATGAATGTGAAAGTAGTCCTTGTGTGAACGACGCAGAATGCATTGACCTGATCGCTGACTTTTTTTGTAACTGTACCGAAGGCTTTGAAGGTATTTTCTGCGAAATAGACATCGACGAATGCATGTTTTCAGAATGCCTTGGAAACTCAACATGTATTGATGGCATTGGCGGATACTCTTGTAAATGCGAAGCCGGATATGATGGCAATTTATGTGAAATTGACATAGATGAGTGCCAGAGTAATCCGTGTAAAAATGGCGC